AGAAACTGGAGGGCCTCTCCCCTCAATGCACCGTGGATCCTCAAAGGAAGCTTATTAAAAATGCCCGTGCTATGGGCCAGGTGCTAAGGAGCTCTAGTAGTGTAGTGGTTACGAATTGGGCTGCGAACTGTAAGGTCAGCAGTTCGAAACTACCAGCGGTTCCGCGGGAGAAAGATGAGGCGTTCTGCTCCCGTAAAGATTAACAGCCTCGGAAACCCCGTGCATGGTCTCTATGAGTCGGAACCGACTCCACGGCACATAACAACAACAACAACGGGCCAGGTGAGGAGGGCGAGGAGCCAGCCTTGCCGAGTGGGCAGAACAGAGAAAGGAACTCTGGTGGTGCCGCAGGATAAGTGATGAGCTCCTAACCACAGAGTTGGTGGTTCAACCCCCCCAGCCGCTCTGTGGGTCACAATGATTTGGAATTGATTCCATGGCAGTGCGTTGGGGAGTGCGGTGGCTCTGTAGGATAAGCACTGGACTTTGAACCACAAGGTTGGTTCCTCCGGAGAAAGATGAGGCTTACTGCTCCCACAAACATTTATAACCTCAGAAATCCTACAGCGCAAGGGTGAGGAAGCTTTTGCTGCCAAAATTTATAGTATTATTTGTGGGCCATACACAATTATCACCTTAAAAATTAGCCTGTTATATTTGGTCAAACATTTAATTAACTCACCCCTAAGAGCTCTGGTAAGCGTAGTGATTACAAATTGGGCTGTTCACCTCAGGATCAGCAGTTCAAAACTACCAGCTGTTCCATGGGAGAAAGATGAGGTTTTCTGCTCCCAGAAACCCTGTACAGGGTCACTATGATTTGGAACCAACTTCACAGCACATAACAACAACAACAATGTGATGACTGGAGCCCCAGTGTGGCACTGAAGGATAATGAGCTGGATCACAAGGTTGTTTGAACCACTAGGTCAGCAGTTCAAACTCACTTGGAACCTTATACAGGGTTGCTATGAGTCAGAATCGACTCAACTGCGCTTGGCAACAACATGTGATGGCTGGAATGGAGGTTGCCTTGGCAGGGCTAGACCAAATGATTTCAAGGGCTTTATATGGAGTCCTGGTGTGGTGCTGTGGGATAACGCACCAGACTGCAAAGCCATTTGAACTGCAAGGTTGGCGGTTCAAGCTCATCAGCCGCTCCTCGGAAACCCTATACAGGGTCGCTATGAGTCGGAACCGACTCAACGGCACTTAACAACAACATATGGCCCACAGGCCAGACATTCCCCACCCCTGCTATGGAGGGTCTCTATGAGTCAGAGCCACTTGACGGCACTTAACAAGAACAGAGAGAGTGCTAACCCTAGAAAAATCTCCATTTTGCAGTGACCATTGTAACACCTGCTGATGTGATGCTGTAAGATAAGCACTGGACTTTAAATCCCAAGGTCGGCAGTTCAAGTCCACCAGCTGCTCCTTGAAAAACCTATAAGGATCATTATGAGTCAGAACCGACTCAACGGCACTTAACAACAACAACAACACATTGTAATAGCTGATGGAGGTAAGACTCATTACAAGGTAAAAGCAGTGCGGGGAAGTTTGCATGGTCAGAAGTTATCTTCCCACAAGACACTCATTACGAAGATACAAAGAGTAACTTCATGGTGGAGAGCAACCCCACAACTCCCCACCCACCCCCCGCAGTGATCAAAGTAAATAACATCAGCTGTAATGAGACAGATGGCGATCACATTCATAGATGGGGATACTGAAGTTCAAAGAAAGGTACCAGGGGACTCTTACACAGAACACAGTATCATATGTGTGTATTCCTACCCCAAAATGAGTAACTTTAATCTAATCATGAGCAAGCACCAGACAAACCCTAAGTGAGGGGCACTCTACAAAACAACTTTGATATACTCTTCAACAGTGAGTGTCCAGGTCATGAAAGATGAAGAAAGACAAGAAGAGATATTTCTGATTAAAGGGACCCAGAGAGCTACACCACCAAAGTGTAGCACGTGATCTTAGACTAGGGCCTGGATCAGAAACAAATCCTGCGCTTTGATTTAAAGGCCCCTAGGAGGACTGGTGTGGCGCTGTACGGTAACCATTGGACTGCTACCCTCAAGGCCAGCAGTTCAAACCCACCAAATGCTCCTCGGAAACTCGATACAGGATTCACAATGAGTCAGGACTGACTAGATGGCACTTAACAATAACAATGGATCAAAAAGAGGCCCTGATGGCTTGTAAGATAAGCACTGGCCTGCTAACTGTAAGGTCGGCAGTTCAAACTCACCAGCCATTCTGTATTTTTGCTCCCGTAGAGATTTACAACCTCGAAAACACTACACAGGGTCGCTATGAGACAGGAACAACTTGATAAAGCAGTGAGTCTGGTTCTAGGTACAAAGGGTTGACCCACTTGGCTGATAACCAAGAGACTGAAGGTTCAAGACCACCCAGAGACACCTCAAAAGAACAATCAGACAATCTGCTTCCAAGAAACCAGCCACTGTAAATCCTACTCTGAGTACAGTTCTACTCTGACACACATACGGTCATCTGGAGTCGGAGTCATCAGGCAGCAATTGGCTGAAACAGGACAATAAGTCAGGTCTGTAAATGAGTTAATAGTATACTATCTATGCTAACCACTTGAATTTGATAATTATACTGTAGTAATGTAAGAGGATGCTCTTGTACTTTAGGAATACACGAAGACAGAAGCATTTAAGTGAAAAGGGCACGATGTCTGTAACTCACTCTTCATTGGAACAGAAAATTAGAATAAAATATTTGTATATATTCTGTATAAAATAAATATCTATTGAGAGGTAGAGAGAGGGAGGAAAGAGAGAAACAGTTGAAACAAATGTGATTAAATGTTCCTATTTGGGGAATCTGGGTGGAGGGAGTTCTTTGTATTATAAGAATGTAAAGAGCAAAACAACAAATCCACAGAGGTTGGAAGAGTCCCTGACAGGCAGGGACTAACTGGGAAGGGGAACAAGCCATCTGATTCTGAAAAGATTTCCATTTCCTGCTGGAGTCTTGGTGATGCTGTGGGTTAGGCATTGGGTTGCTAACTGCAAGGTCAGTAGTTCAAACCCACCAGCTGCTCCGTGGGAGCAAGATGGGGTTGCCTGCTCCCATAAAGATTTACAGTCTCGAAAAATCTATATCTGGTCACTATGAGTCAGAATCGACTTGGTGGCTATGGGTTTGGTTTTTGGTTTGTGAGGGACAGGCAGGCATTGGGAGTTTTAAAAGCTTACCAGGTAAATCTAATGTACAGTCAAGGTTGGGAATCATTAGTGTATGAAACATGAGTCAGGTGGGTTTTGTTGTTTTTTAAATCCTGCTAGCGTAGCAGATTTGTATCTAGAGGATAAATCATTGTATCTAGAGGATAAATTGTATCCACAGAGAATACTTTCAAATGCCATCCAAGAGTCCTACCTTGGATGGCACCCAAGAAGGGTTGAAGGCATCTACTGTTTGTTCATCTTACACCCTCTGTATGGTTTGAACTTTTATCACCAGTGATTATTACTTTGATAATAATAAGAGTTTGTAAGAATCCACATAAAAACAAAGCCTCCCCTCCTTAGAGAAGTGGCTGGTTTCAAGGCTGAGTCTGGGAAAAAAAGATGAAATATCTCATGGTGTCAAACTTAAGGGAGTGCTCAGAAAAGATGAGGCGTATTGCTAGGGCACAGGGGCCAGCTCCCAATGGCCACTGCTGGACTCATTTAAGCAGCAAAATAAGTAATGATAGTATTGGATTATAGTGTGGCGCTGTGGGTTAATGCGCCAGACTGCAAAGCCATTTGAATTGCAAGATCGGCAGTTCAAGTTCACCAGCTGCTCCTTGGAAACCCTCTACAGGGTCGCTATGGGTCGGAACTGACTCGATGGCACTTCACAACAACAACAACAAAACACTATATCCACTGGAGTCCTGGTGTAGGATAATGCACTGAATCTCAAGGCTAGTTTGAACTTCAAGGTCGGCGGTTCAAACCCACCATCTGCTCCTCGGAAATCCTTTACAGGGTCATTATGAATTGGACCAAATTTGATCGCACTTAACAACAGCTACATACTGAATGAAGGAATGAGTAGAGCAAAAGGGATAATTCTTCTTTATAAGAAGATGTCACTTAATAAATGTAGTATGAAGGAGAGGAACAGAAAGCCAGCATGAGAACTTCATGTAATGACTACAGGCAAGATCCACTGAGGGATATTGATCATAGTGGGTGAAAGTTTGAAGAGCAAATCAAAAAGTATCTCTTCCAAGAAATTTATTAATGAAAAGAGAAATCTAGTCACTTCAAGAAGCGCTGGTGAAACTGTGGGTTTTCATCTCATTGGGCTGTTAACTGTACAGTTGGAAGTTCAAACCCACCAGAAGGAAGAGGCTGAATGCTTCCTTAAAGATTTACAGCTTGGAAATCCTGGTCCTCTCTGTCCCATAGGGTCACTGTGAGTGGAAATGGACTCTATGGCAGTGGGTTATAGCAAGTTCACAGTGGGGACACTCAGCTGACATCTTAAGCAAGCGTTCCAGCTAAATGCCTCCAGTAAAAAGGCAGACAGACAGCATGAGCCTTCCCGATGAGATGCACTGAGAACGACATGTTCTTACCAATATGTATAATCTAAACCCCACCACGAGAAAACACCAGACAAATTTATGTCAGTGACACGCTCTGAAACAACTGCCTAATGCTCTTCCAACAGCATGAAGGATCAAAGACAAGGAAAGACTGAAGAGCTTTCACAGTTTTGAAGAGGCTAAGGACACATGGTAGCATAGTGGTTATGAATTGGGCTGCTAACCTCAGGGTCAGCAGTTCGAAACTACCAACTGGTCCGCGGGAGAAAGATAAGGCTTTCTGCTCCTGTAAAGATTTATAGCCTCAGAAACCCTGTGCAGGGTCGCTATGAGTCGGAACCGACTCAACGGCACTTAACGACAACAAGGACACATGACAACTAAGTGCAAGGTGGGATCCTGGATCAGAAAATTGGTCACTAGTGAAAAACCCGGTAGACTCAAGTCCGTATTCTAGTTATTGTCGTAAGACCTCTGTTCCTAGATGCAGTAGGCTCCCCAACCACTCTAGGTGGTTCAAATTAAGTCTTTGAACAAGTACTTATTCTCTTAGAGCCTCTGTCTTCACACCTGTACAATGGGCATGCTACAAGGAGTACCTAACCTAGAGTTACATCAAAACAAAACTAAACTCACTGCATTGGGCCTATTCCAACTCACAGAGAGCCTATAGAATAAGAACTGCTCCTTAGGGCTTCTGAGACTTCAAATCTTTATGGGAGCAGAGACCCTCATCTTCCTCCCTCAGCGTTACATGGGTTTATACCACTGACCCACGGTTAGCGACCCAACACTTAAGCCATTACGTCATCAGGGCTCCTTACTTAGGGTTACTCCATTGCCACTGAGTTGATTCTGACTCATACCAACCCTATGTAAGGTTTCTGAGGCTATAAATCTTTATGGGAGCTAAAAGCCTCCTCTTTCTCCTGAGAAGCAGCTGGTGGATTTGAACTCCTGACTTTGCGATTAGCAGCCCAATGTGTAACGCACTATGCCATCTGATCTCCTTCCTACAATTAATGCTGGCTGGCTGTATGCTGTTGAGTCAGTTCCGACTCATAGCAACACTGTATAGGGTTTCCAAACTTGTAAAGTTTTACAGGAACAGAAAATCTGATCTTTCTCCCTCAGAGCAGCTTGGGGGCTTGAACATCTGACCTTGTGGTTAGCAGCCCAATGTCACTATACCACTAAGGAACCTAGAGTTATTGTTGTTGTTGTTGTCAAAGTGCCGTCGAGTCGATTCTGACCCATAGCGACCCTGTATAGGGTTTCCTAGGAGCAGCTGGTGAGCTTGAACCACCAACCTTGCAGTTCAAATGGCTTTGCAGTCTGGCGCATTAACCTACAGCGAGAGTTATAGTAAGGACTAAATAACATCCCATGTATAAATCATGGGGAATTCAGACTGATCAAGGTTGTTGTTGTTGTTGTTGTGTGCTGTCGAGTCAGTTTCAATTCATAGCGAACCCTGTATAGGATCTCTGAGAGCAGCTGGCGGGTTTGAACTTTCAACCTTGTGTTTGGCAGCCCAATGCTTATCCTACAGTGCCACTCCAGGGCTCCAATAACAATAATGATGGGAATGATCATTGTGTGCTTTTGAGTCGGTTCTGACTCATAGCGGGTTTCTGAAAGAAGTTGCTGGGTTTGAACTGCTGACCTGTGATTAGCACAGTTAGTGTGTAACCTACAGTGCTACAACAAGGTCATAAGCCAAGAGGTTCCGATTGTTGTTGTTGTTGTCGCTGTGTGCTGTAGAGTCGGTTCTGGCTCATAGAGACTCCATCGGGTTTTCAAGGAGCAACTGGTGGGTTTGAACCACCGACCTTGTGTTTATCAGTCCCATGCTTCTTGTTGTTGTTGTTGTTAAGTGCCATCAGCTCAGCTCCAACTCATAGCGACCCTGTACAGGGTTTCCAAGGAGTGGCTGGTGGATTTGAACCATGGACCTTTTGGTTCAAACCAACTTTGCAGTCCAGTGCTTATCCTACAGCGCCACACCAAGATTCCAGTCCAGTGCTTATGCCTCAACAAAGAGTGAAAGGAGAGAAATCAAGGACCCCCTTCCACCCTGCCTGCTCACAGCAGATCCCGTGATGATGTGGACAGGAGCTCGAGGGTTGGTGTAGGGCCTCTCTTGGCTACCGTTGAACACCTGGAGGGGGGGAACAAAGTGGGGGGGAGGGTCACACCAGGTATGCCAAGGGGGTCTGATCAGGTGTTCATTGCCACCAGCCATGAGACCTTGGCCCTCCCAATGTCTCACCTGGTAGTTGTAAATTGGCCACAACCGTTCATATGAGTGCTCATGAGCCCAGATCTCTAGGTCGACCCCTGAGTCAGAGCAAATAGGGGGTCAAGTCTCTGGATCTAGCAGAGATGAGGTGTGGGGCATGGGGCTGAGGGTCCCAGGGGCCGCTCACCATATCTGTAGAAAAGATCCTCCAACCCATATAACTGACCAAAGAGGCCTTTGCGAACCTGGGAAGGATGAGTAGGAAGTTAAAGGGTGACTCACATCAACCCCACCTGGTCTCAGGGTCCCCATGCTCCACTCAGGAAAGGAGTCCTCACCTTGCTTTCATGCCATCTACAGTCGTCCAGGTCAGCATTGGAACAGTACATGGGCCGGTGACCCATGGTTATGATCCAAGGCCGGGCTGCCCGATTCTGGTTGGCTTTCTAGAGATAAGGGCCCAGAGTGAGGGTCAGGGGGTGTGGGGAGTGAGGCAGGCCAAGGGAAGCAAAGGGGGCCTCCACCCAGCTTACCTGGAGGTCGCTCTCCAACCAACGAAACTGTTTCTCTACCAGATGGTAGCCATAGTGAAGAAAGAAATAGACCTCAGTGGAGAAAGAGATGATGTGGGCTGGGCCCAGGTCCCAACTAGAGGGGTCAAAAGGCAGGGGTCAGGGATGCGGTCTCCTCTGCATACCCCAGCCTTCAGGGAAGGGAGGCCAGTCCCCAACACGCCCAGATTACCTGTACCAAAGACCTTCAGTGTTTCCCGGCATACTGAAGCGAGCCTTGTAATTAGAGAAGTTGCTGGATAAAGCACGTAAAAGGGTGAAGTGAGGTGTGGACCTATCTGTGTCCCCAGCACTTCCCACTCTAGGGCCCAGAGCCTGGCTTCCAAGCAAGCCTTCGTCTCCTCTCATCATCACAAATGAACTGTCCCTGTGTGTGAAAGACTAAGGCCATTGGAAGACACAGAATCATCCACTTTGATCTAAGACTAGCCAGAGTCCCCTGCTAGCCACCCAGCCCTTGCCCACTCACAGTCCCAGGTCCTTACTAGCGTTGTTCATGGTTCCCAGGGCAGGTCATGTATGGCAGGCTGGCGGCCACAGGTTCAATAAGCCTCATGAACTTGTCCCCGACGCGGGCATTGTCCTCATCCATGTTGTAGGCAAAGTCTCCTGAGGAAGGGAGTAAAGACTCAGACCTGGCTCTATTTTTGTCAGAATTGAGGGACCTGATTGCTCAGGTGTGGGACTATACAACCCTTGGTCTTCAAGCAATGCCAGAATCTTGATCCCTACCTCACACCCACCAGCACTGACTCAGGGAACTGTCCCCTCCATCTCTGGTCTCTGGGTTCCCTCAGTGCCGTGTGAGTGTCCTGTGCTCAGATTCCTCCAGTCCAGTTACTAGCTCAGTGACCGCTACGAGCACAGCCCCAAACGCTTAACATTCACGATCACCTGACTCTCCAGAACACCCACAAGGGGAGTATTGTTACCATCCTCATGTCAAGTAGGAACACAGAGAGATGAAGTGACTGCCCAGGTTAACGGAGCTCGTTAGTAAAGATACAGTAGTCACACCCAGGGAGTCACACTCTGGTTCCAGAGTCTACAAATGTATCACACCAGCCCAATCTCCCATCTCATCCTGTTTCCTAAAGAACAACAGTAATAACAACCAGTACTTATCCAGCAGGAACTCTGGTAGCATAGTGGTTACGAATTGGGCTGCAAACCTTAAGGTCAGCGGTTCGAAACTACCAGCTGCTCCGCAGGAGAAAGATGAGGATTTCTGCTCTTGTAAAGATTTACAGCCTCGGAAACCCTTTACAGGGTCGCTATGACGGACTCCACAGCACATAACAACAACTTATCTAGTGCTTACTGCATACCCGCTAATGTTTTGAGAACTGTATACATATTCGCATACTTAGTTGTCACAAGAATTCCATGAGTTCTGAACTAGACTTCTGTTTGATAGCAATACAGACGGGAGAATCAACACACATCGCTCTAAGTGCCCAGGTTGGTGTTTCAATCAACAGTCTCCAATGATCTCCACATCTCCATGATGGGTCTCATCCAATGTGACTTCAGATTCAAGCTAGCCCCACTCCCACCCCTACAGTTCCTGTGCTACCTCCCACCCATGTATCCACCCCCACGCCTCCAGGGCACCCTTGCTGAAGTCTCACCCACATGAAGAATAGCATCGTACATGCCCTGCTGGACTTCCCTGCGTAGTCGAGGGAGGGCCTTTGGGTTCTCAGCCCCTAGGTCCCCAAACACAGCCAGACGGGGGCTCCAGTGGGGCCCATTCTTTAAGGTCTTGAAGCGGAACCGACGGCTCCAACCCTGGGCACTACCACACCTGTAAACTGAAGGGGGAAGAAAAGGTCACAATCAGCTGGGAGTATTCAGGACTCTTCCTCCAACCCCCACACATCTCCATTTGTCAGGGGGAGAGAGAACCACGCCCACCCCACTGTATATCTCCCCCCACCCCCCACCCCTTCCATTTACATCCCTTGGGTCTAATACAATAGGCTTGCAGAGAAGTGTGGAGTTAGGAGCCCAGCCTCAGTCTGTGGGTCTGTGGCACTTTCTGGTCCATTTCCCACTTCTCTTCCTGTCTTCTCTCAATTCTCCAGCCTGGGACCTTTGGGACCTTTCTCACCGTACTGGACCCCAGGCAGCAGCCTCCGCAGCATGACTCGGTGTATGTAGAGCTTCCGGTGGAGAATGCCCCCATCCACAAAGGGGCTAGAGGTGCCCACTGCCCGCAGAGGTAGGGGCCCTGATAGTTGCATCCCAAACTGCACTTCAGAGCGAGTGGGGACCCACGTGGTCCAGGTTACGGTCATGGAACCCGGCTCACCTGGGAAAAAGGGAGCAGAGGGGGCATCAGGGAGGCTGGGACAGGCAGTGAGGAGCAATAACTGTAACCGCTCTTAATTTAGTAGTTAAGGGCCCACGTTCTAGTACTACTCAAGTTCAGTCCCTGCTCTGCCATTTCCAAGTTATCTTTACCTTACTGAACCTCATTTTCTTATCTACAAAATGGAACAATAGTACCAAACCCTAGATGAATAAACACGAGGGAACTTAAAAAAGTCTGTGGAAAAAAAATTCTATTATCTTTTCATTCAATTTTTCTATGAACTGTTTGCAGCCCCATTGTAGAAGGGGAACATGCCTAGTGCACAGTTAGAATCCCTGGGGTAAATAAATGCTCAACCACTAATCAAAAGGTGAGTGGTCAAATCTACTCAGAGGTACCTCAGAAGAAAGACCTGGCAATCTACTTCCAAAAGGACACAGCTCTCTACTCTCTATGAAGCTTACTTCTACTCTGAAACCCATGGCTCGCCATGAGTTGGTAATGACTTAACAGCTTCTCATTTGGTTTGGGTTTGGTGTGACATTAAGAGTTAGATATGTGTTAACTATTTTATTATCATGCATAGGTCTTGTGCCAAATGTCTTCCACAGGACATTGTATGTTGTTGCTAAGTGCCCTTGAGTCAGTTCCGGTTCATAGTGATCCTGTATAGGGTTTTGGAGGAATGGCTGGTGGGTTTGAACCTCTGACCTTGAGGTTAGCACCTCATATGCTTATCCTACAGCATCACACCAGGACTACAAGACTTGTATAGGGGTTGTATAGAGTTGCAAATTCAGGGGTGTCAAGCTAGCTAAGTAACACAAGGTAAGGCAGCAGGGAATTTGGAGAGTATGGCAAACTCAGTTCAAGTGGCAGGGGCCACACAGGAGGTAGACCCAAATCTGCCTAATCTTTGGATTGCTCTAGAATAAATCTTGACGTGGTGGTTTTTCTAGCCCAGGAGCATATAGCTACATATACAAATCTAAAATTTTCAGTGATATTTTCAATTTCTTAAATGTGAGCACCCAAATCAAAGTTTGAAAAATACCATGTATATAGTACATGAATACAATGTCATATCATGCGAAGAGCATGGAGTCTTCCTCCAGCAATACAGAAATGCACACGTACAAGGTTTTTCACTGCAGCTGCAATAGATAGGAAATGACCCAAATGTTCATCCGCAATACGTAACAACTCTGCTGAGAACCACGCAGTTGCAGAAAAGAATGAGGACAAACTCTGATTGGATATGGAATGATCTCCAGCATGTAGAGTTATATAAACAAGGAAAATGTCATAGAATACCTATAGTCAGCTAGCCTTTATGTAAGGGGATATGAAAAACAGGAGAAGATGGATTCCTTGCCAGGGTGGGTGGGAGTCGGGTAGTAGGGATGAAGGCGGAGCGACGCTTCTCTGAATCTTTTGTACAACTCCTACTCTTGGTACGTTAGTCACTCCTAGTTCATATTTCCTTCACCCTTCCCCCCCCCACCACCAAATAAACAATTAAAACCAACCAGAGTGTGTGTGGAGGGGATACCCCGCTATAGAATGAAAACAGTAATGAATGGGCCTAACTATGTGAAAAGAAATGAACGTTCTATTAAGGGTGTTGGAAAAATTCAGAATCGGTTAACAGCGATGGTTGAACAACACAACATACGTTATTTGATAAGATCACTGAACTGCACATGTGAAGATTGTTGAAATGGCGAATGTTGTATTACCTATTTGTTACAATATATAAATAGAATAGATAATATAACTACACTGACCTGGATGGGGAAGAAAAGGAACTGAAAAACGGTGTCAGCTGGGTTTTAGAAGGCTAAAGACAAAAGAAACTATACACAATGCTCTCATACACAGGGATATTTATACATAGGTATTACCTGTAAAGATTTACAGCCTCGGAAACCCTGTACAGGGCCGCTAGGAGTCGGAACCGACTCCACGGCACACAGCCACCACCACCATTTACCCCTTGGAGTCCTGGTGTGGTGCAGCACTAGACTGCGAACCACAAGGTCGGCAGTTCAAACCCACCAGCTTCTCCTTGGAAACCCCATGAGTCAGAACTGACTCGATGGCACATAACAACAATTTAACCTTTACTCATTTTTTTCTTTTTTTACTCGTTGCCTCACAGTGTTTGGTAATATCTAAGAAGTTTTCATCATTTTGTCCCCTGTGAGTCCTGGTGTGGTGCTGAAGGTTAAAGCACTGGGTTGCAAGGTTGGTTTGAACTGCAAGGTCGATTGTTCAAACTCACCAGCCACTCCTCGGAAACCTTATACAGGGTTGCTATAAGTTGGAACAGGCGTGACGACACATAACAACAACATGTACCCTTACTACAAATACACCTATGACTGTGGTGGACCACTGTTGTTGTTGTTGTTGTTGTTAAGCACCATCGACTGTTGTTATTAAGTGCTATCAAGTCCATTCCAACTCATAGTGACCCTGTATAAGGTTTCCAAGGAGTGGCTGATGGGTTTGAACCACCAACCTTGTGTTTAGCTGTCCAGTGCTTATCCTACAGCACCACACAAGGAGTCACAGTGGATAACATGATGAAAACTTCTTAGTTATTACCAAATACCATGAGAAAATGAGTTTCTGGGCTTGGGGGCTCAGGACCATAGTCTCAGGGGACACTATAGTCAACTGGCATGACATAGTCCCCAAAGACAATGTTCTACATCCTACTTTGGTGAATAGAGACTTCCAAGGTGCCTTGGAAGAAACACCTGGCAATCTACTTCTGAAAAATCAACCATTGAAAACCCAATAAAGTGCAGCTCTACTCTGATATGCATGGGTTTTCCATGAGTGGAACTCAGTGGGCAATGAAGTTCAATGTGAGATTCTGGGTTAATTCCTGGAACAGTAAAAGGACCCTAGTGGGAAACCTGGTAAAATTCCACTGAGGTCTAGAGTTTGGTGGTGATTGTGTGGCACCAAGTCGGTTCCAACTCATAGCAACCCTGTATAGGGTTTCCGAGGAGCAGCTGGTGGATTTGAACCACAAACCTTGTGGTTCCAAGCGACCTAGCGGTGCAGTGCATTATCCTGCCGTGCCACACCAGGACTCCAGTGGTTGTTTTTGCTAAGTGTTATCAAGTCAGTTCTGACACACAGCGACCCTGTGTAGGGTTTCTGAGGAGTGGCTGGTGAGCTTTAATTGCCAACCTTGCAGTTCAAACCGACCTTGCAGTCCAGTACATTAACGTGCAGGGCCACACCAGGACTCCAGTGATAATACATCAATGCACCAATGTTAATTTCTTGGTTTGACTCATTGTCCCATGTATGTAATCATGTACATGCTATGTAATGTTAGGGGGAAACAGGCAAGGGGGGGTCTAGGGGCTGCTATATTTTTGCTGTAAAATCTAAAATCTATTGTTGTTGCTGTTAGGTACCATTTGTTGTTGTTATGCGCCGTGGAATCGGTTCCGACTCATAGTGACCCTGTACAGGGTTTCCAAGGCTGTAAATCTTTATGGGAGCAGAAAGCCTCATCTGTCTCCCGCGGAACAGCTGGTAGATTCGAACTGCTGACTGTGAGGTTAGCAGCCCGATTCGTAACCACTACGCTACCAGAGCTCCTTAGGTGCTATTTAGTCAGTTCCAACTCGTATAGACACTACACAGCACAAAGAAACCCTGCCGGGTCCTGTGGGATCCTCACCATGGTTGCTATGTTTGAACCCATTGTGGTAGACTCTGTGTCAATTCATCTCATGAAAAAAATGTAAAAACAAAGACAGTGAGGTTCTTGAACCAACCTGCCTAAATTCCAGTTCCACACTGGGTGGCCTGGGGTAATTATCTTCACCTCTATAACTCAATTGTCCTCTTTGGTGAAATGAGAGTAACAATTGTACCTACAGCTTGAGGTCTAGTGAGGTTAAATAAATGATCCATAAAAAACACTTAGTACCTTTGCCTCTAGGATTTTGTAGATCAAACAAAGGACAGCTGGGAAGCTCATTGGATTTTCACAATAGTCCTTGTCCTGCCCAGTTTCCAGAGTTGATGTGCCTTGCCCAAGGTCACTGGGCCATCAAATGTCAAAGCCAGTTCATTGATGCAGTTTCTGATTCCACTCTGTACCTAAGCTCTAAGAAGCAACCGTCTTTAAAAGTGTCAAGGACATGAAAGACCAAGGAACAGTGTCCCACATAGTAGAAGACTAAGAAGTCGCAGCAAAGAGAATAGCAATGAAGGATCCTGGATTCAAATACAGACAGTGGAAACACTGGTGGCATCTGAATGAAATCCACAGCTTAGTGGATATCACACCAAAGTTAATTTCTCAGTTTTGACAATTGTACATTGGTGGCATGCAAAGCTGACATTAGGGGAAGCTGGATGAAGGGGATATGGCAACTCTGCACTATTTTTGTCACTTTCCTGTAATTTTTAAATCTTTTAAAATGAAAAGCTACAATAATTTCTTAACGAGGAAACCACTGCTTGTCTCATTTCGGTGTGGAATCAAAGGATAATATCCACAATTATCTGACACTGCTGTTGAACTATTCCTCCCTGTTTCAACCACATGTCTGTGTGAGAGCAGATTGCTTTCATATATATTATCCAACAGAAGCCATTACAGCAAACCAAACGCAGATACCGATATGAGGAGAATTCAGCTATAAAGCCAGACGTGAAGGAGACTTACAAAGATGTAAATCAATGCCATTCTTCTCACTAATTTCTTTTGTTTTATAAAATAGTCATTTTCATTGAAAATGTCACTTATAATAATACATAATGGGTTTATTATTCATTTTAAACGACAATAAAATGTTTTTAAGTGTCTCAGTTTTAATTTCCAATATGGTAAGCATGGATAGTTATAACGCTGGCAAACAAAACCTCTTTGAGAGTCTCAATACTTTTTTATAGTATAAAGGGATCCCGAGACAAATGGAGTCTTGGCATGGTACTGTAGGATAAGTCCTGGACTGCTAACTGCAAGGCTGACAGTTTAAACTTGGAACCCCTATACAGGGTCACTATGAGTTAGAACTGACTTCCTGGCACTTAACAACAAGACCCCAAAGTGTAAGAACCACTGCGACACACCTAGCACCATTTTACCCACCAGCTGCTCCTTGGAAACCCTATACAGGGTCATTCCTCGTCACATGACTGGGGGCCAGGCTGAGAAGTCAGAGAGTTAAGTTACGTGCTCAGGGTCGCAAGCTGCAAAGCTGGACTCCATACCCAGGCAATATGGGTCCAGAGTTCACCTCTTACCACCTCGGTGCCCCACTGCCTCCTGATAAAGGATCAAGAGGCTCCTTTTGCTGGGAAGAGGCAAGGAGGCATAAGCTAGGCAATCCAGTTCCGTAATCATTCATCATTGGTTTCTTTCACAACTGAGTTTAAGACTTACTGGGCACTAACTGTCAGGTCCTGGTGTCCTGGTGAGACACTGTAGGATAAGCACCAGACTGCTAACTATGAGACTGGAGGTTCAAACTCACCAGTTGCTCCTCGGAAACCCCATACAGGGTTGCTATGAATTGGAACCGACTCCACAGCACTTAACAACAACGTCACCATGTCAGGTTGTAGAGATACGGGAGTGACACAATCACTAAGACCAACGGCAGCCCCCTTTTGGGGGAATACTGACTATAGCGTAGTGGTTACGAATCAGGCTGCGAACTGCAAGGTCAGCAGTTCGAAACTACCAGCTGTTCCATGGGAGAAAGATGAGGCTTTACGCTCCCGTAAAGATTTACAACCTCGGAAACCCTATACAGGGTTACTCTGAGTCGGAACCGACTCCACGGCACGTAACAACAACAACAACTGACTATAGACTGGGCATTATGACCGTTCCATACACACTCAGAGATACAACTGCTACCATCCCCATTTAACTAGAAGCAGACACCCCAAGTTTCAGGAAAGACAAGTCACCTGCCTAGGCCCCCATGGCAATCACCATGGGATTCCAGGAAGGGATCACACTTACCTGGGTAGGACAGATGGACTTGCTCAGGTGTGGCACTGGGAGCTCCTGGGGCCCCCTGAACTCCCAGGGAGAAGAGGACCAGCACACAGCAGCAGGACCAGAAGGGGTGAAGGAGGCACATGGTAGAAGAGGGGAAGGGGCTGGGAGGATGGAGAATGGAGGGGATCAGGTGATGCTGATGCTGAGTGTGGGAGGGGGTCCTCAAGGAGGACAATTATCCAGATGCTGAAGAGAGAACGTGAGCAGACCCATCACTGTGGGGCCTCAGGCCTCTTGGGCAAAGTGTGCAAAGCAGTTCACGTGGAGTAACTACATTCCTATGAAGTGGATGCTCCGATTTATCAACATCCCCATATCTCAGATGAGGCAACTGAGGAAACCAGAGATTAAGTTGTACAACTGGGATGTGGAGGAGCCTGATTTGAATCTAGGCAGGCCTAGCTCTTAATCATGGTTTATTGGGAGGTGGGGGGAACACTTGGCAAGCCCCTCTTCTAACGACCCATCCTTCTTCTAGTAATGCTCCTTCTACCTTTCCCCCCCATCCCCAGGTCACCAGCCTTTTATCTTTGTCCTTAATGACCTCACCATGCCTACTCCTCAATCTGCCACCTTGGTCTCAGTGACCCCAACTCTATACCCAGATCCTCCAGAACCCCAACTTGCACTGAGTGACCCCATTTTCTGACTCCACCCTGCATCGGATCCTGACCTTACTAACTGCACTCCCTCTTTCCCGGCCCCAAGTCCCCCAGCACCCCATGCTAACAGCCCACCTCCACTTCTCCAACGGTGCTCCCTGGCTCCCCAGTCCCTCATCTGCTGGCCACCCCCACCCCCTTTTCTGAGCTCCTCCTACTCCATTTCGGCGCCAGCTCCCACAGACAGAGCAGGCGGGGGCCCGAAGTCCAGAGGCCACGAGTCTGGATGGAGGGCGCCCTGGGAACCCTACTCACCCTGGGGGCGCCGCTGCCCCGCACGCGTTTCTCGAGGCCAGGCCCGCCGCGGTATTTATGGGTTCTCAGCAGCAGCCGAGGCCTCCTGCCGCCCACACCCGTCCCAGCCCCGGAAGAGCCGGCCGCCTCGGGGTGACGGGCTCCCCAGACAGCCAGGGCCCCGGGTCCCACAGGTCCGGCCGGTCCCGGGCGCCCCACGCCCACCCGCCCGCGCCCCCAGGGCGGGGTGCGAGATGGGGGACCCAGGTAGGCTTGGTACGCCGCCACCGTCACCTCTGAGCCGGCCACCAGGTGAGCGTCGAGACAGGTAAGGCTGAGCGCGTCCCCCAGGCGCCCCACGTCCCTCATGTGGAGCCCCCAGGGCACGGACACTGGCTCCTAGCCCCCACACCTGGCGCTGCCACATCCCGGGGTACCAGGAGCCTCCGACCCGGGGAATTCCCCCATCCTTTCCAGCCTAGTCGGCATCGTGGATCCTTCCGGCTTCCTCCCTCCTCCAAACTGGACCCACTGACTCCTCCCCAGGGCCCCCTGAAAACTCCAAATCCGATTTGACTCTGAGCTGTTAGCTAGTTGTGCACCTTAGGAGAATTACTCAACTTAGGCTTCGCTGGGCCTCGGTTTCCCCCGTCTGTAAAATGGAGTTCAAAGTAGGACAAAACCCCACAAAACCCCCCAATAAGTAGGCTATTGTGAGGATCCCAAGAGTTGACGCCTAAAACTGACAGAGAACCCAGCCTGGTCTGAGAGAAAGGTGAGCGAGAATTCCATTGTTGTTTGACAATTAATGTTGGAATCCCAGAAACTGCCCTGGATACAGAATTCAAGTGGGAGCAAGAGAGAATTTTCTGTAAACCTTTGAGAGCTGTTTGAGCGTGGTGAACGGCTTACCCCCAAATAGGATTTGGGGCTCCCAAAGCAGTTGGGCTCCGGTTTCCTGCAGCCCCCCACCCCCCTTTCTCGCTCTCTCTCTCCTTCAGAGTCGGCTAAGTGTCAGCAGGATTAGAGCATTGATTTCAGGGGTTGGTTGGTAAGATGAATACTTGGTACTTTTTGGATTTTTTCCCACCCACTGGCGTCTCAAAGGTACTTAACACCAAAACAACAACAACTGGAGTCTCTTAACAACAACTGAGTTCCGTTACAGCTTAAATTATAATAAAAAATAACTCTCCTAGCTGCACTCAACCATTTCCAACTGCTCACTCCAGCAACCATCAATTGCAACCTCCCCCTTAAGTTTTTGTTTTTCTGACACTCTTCCAGCATTAAGGGTCCCTCACCTTTGTGTGTGCATGTGTGCTAAAGGTGCCTCTGACAGGTAGCTGAACTTCCCATGCATAAAATAAATGTCAGGAATTACACAGGAAACTGATTATATTGAAAACCAGATATAAAAATATGTTAAATATATGATGCCCAAAAGCCACTGTATGAAGTTGATTCTGACTCATGGGGACCCTATAGGGACAGAACTGCGCCATAGGGTTTCTGAGACTGTAAATCTTTACAGGAGCAGACAACCTTGGCTTTCTCCCACTGGATAGTGGGGGGCAGTGTGTGGGGGGTGACACGGAGGTTGAATCACTTGCAGCCAGCAACCTAATGCTTAACCCACTGCACCACCAGGATTTATTTAATATAGGATACAGTGGTGGTGGTGATGTGCTGTGTTGTCAGTTCCAACTCATAGCCACCCTGCGTAGAGTTTCTGAGGCTGTAAATCTTTACAGGAGCAGAAAGCCTCATCTTTTCTCCCACTGTACAGCTGGTAGTTTTGAACTGCTGATCTTGAGGTTAGCAGCCCGATTTGTAATGACTACACTACCAGAGCTCCTTACATGATAAGGAGCTGGTGTGGAGCTGTGGGCTAAGGCATCAGACTGCAAAATTGTGTGAACTGTAAGGTCGGTGGTTCAAGCCCACCAGCTGCTCCTTGGAAACCCTATACAGGGTCACTATAGGTTGGAGTCGAGTTGACGGCACTTAACAACAACACTCTTTATTAAGGCCTTAAATTTCAAGATCTAGTGACAGGCACAAAATCTATGGTCAGAGTACAAGAAGACTTGAAATTTCTATCACTGTGTAGGTTTGAAAACGACAATTCCCTCTGGTAACAAAGTCATGGCCTCTACTAGTAGAATTGTGATCTATCGCCATGGTTTATTACCAAAGAAAATGACAAATTTCAGTTACAGTGGGGTTCTCCAACTTTTTAACCTCTTAGAAAATATTATCACAAAATTTTTGTGATTAAAATATACACAAAATTGACCATTTAAATCATTTTAAAATCTACAATTCAGTAACATTAATTATACCTACAATTCTGTGTAACTATACAAAACATTTTCATCACCCCAAACAGAAACTTTATACCCATGAGACATTAACTCCCCATCAGCCCTCCCGTTGGCCTTTGGTAACCTTGGTTCTCCTTTCTACTGTATGTATGCATTTGCCTAGTCGAGATAGTTCATGTAAGTGAATTCATATAATATTTGCCCTATTTTGCCTGGATTGGAGTCCTGGTGTGGCATTGTGAGATAAAGCACTGGACTGCAAGGTTGGTTTGAACCATAAGGTCAGCCGTTCAAACTCACCAGTCACTCCTTGGGAACCCTATCCAGGGTTGTTGTGAGTCTGAACGCATTGGAAGACACTTAACAACATCCACATGCCTGAATTATATTACTTAGAGTAATGCCTTCAAGGCTCTTCTATGTTGTAGCAATAATTAGAATTTGTTCCTTTTTCTGGCTGCATAATATCCCATTGTGTGTATACACCACACTTTGTTTATCCATTCATCAAAATATTTTGTATGTGGGATGTATCTATAAACAATTTATCAGTAAGATAACAAAGCTTAGAAGTTTTAAAACACAAGAGTACAATGAGTCAGGATTGACTAGACAACAGTTGTTCTAGACAGATAGATTCCATTAGGCATCAGATCTGGAGGTGAAAAGGACAAATACATGCTAACATTATACACAGAAGTAGTTTTGATCTTGTTATAACGTCCAGGAAAAAGTAGGATCCCAGAGCACATTTTAAGAACTGCTGAGTTAAAGGATAATACAAATAAAGAGGTGATTTTTTTTCTTAAAGTTAGGTTCATGTAAGAGTCCTGGTGTGGCATTGTAAGATAAGCACTGAACTGCTAACTGAAAGGTTAATGGTTTAAACCCACCAGCCTCTCACTCCTTCTAAATGCTTTACAGGGTCCCTTGCTCTGAGTCAGAACGGACTCAATGGCAGTTAGCAACAAGATGTCCCTGAATTAGGAACCTGGTGTGGTGCTGTAGGATGAGCATTGGACTGTTTACCACAAGGTTGGTGGTTCAAATCAACCAAATGCTCCTCAAAACATCTGGCCCACAGGCCGTATAAGCCCTTCGAAATCATTTGGTCTGGCCCTGCCAAGGCAACCACAGTTCTAGCCATCACTTTTGTTGTTGTTGTTGAGTGACATCAAGTCAGTTCTGATTCATAGTGACCCTGTATAGGGTTTCTAAGGAGTGGCTGGTGAGCTTGAACCACCAACATTGCGGTTCAAACCAACTTTGCAGTCCAGTGCATTAATCCACAACACCACACCAGGACTCCAACCATCACATTAAGGGTAAGTTAATTAAATGTATGATCAAATATTTTTGTTTGTTGTTAAGTGCTATTGAGTGGGTTCTGACTCATAGCCACCCTGTATAGGGTTTCCAAGGAGTGGCTGGTGAATTTGAACTGTCGACTTTACCATTTAAACCAACCTTTTGTTCCAGTGCTTAATCTACAGAGCCACAAGTTGATAATTTTATATGGCCTGCAAATGATTTATGAATTTTGGCAGAAAAAGGGTTCCCCACCCCTGCTATACAGGGTCACTATGACTTGGAACTGACTAGATAGCACTTAACAACATTAAGCCCAGGTTTAAAAACCCAGCTGGGATTGTATTTGCTGGCCTCTGATAATGGTACATGAGGGTTCATGGCTCACTCAGTGTCCCCCTCCTGCTCTCAGAGAGCACCATTTGCAATTTCGCTTTTGGGATAGTTTTGTACTTCAAGAAATATGCATCCATTGTGGAGAATGGGGTGGGGGGGAGAGGGGAAGGTGGAGCACAGGGTAGGGAATAGACACAGGAGAGCTTGGGTGCTGG